GTCCTCCATTTTGAAATTTGGAGTGCTGAATTTTGTATAAAAAAGACTTACACACCTCAGCTTTTATCTTATTTGTTACTTTTTCGAATTTTAATTTTTGCTCATACAGGGTGGTCAAAAACGCAAATTGTAGTTTTTCTCAAAAATTTCAAGTGCATCACCCTGAATATTTGTGCAAGTTTGGATTCAATTTTGTATAACCTTTTTTTTGTATAAGGTTTGATTCAGATAAAATCACTAGATTATTGAGTTATTTTTTTGAGAAAAAATACAATTCCCGTTTTTGACCACCCTGTATGAGCAAAAATGAAAATTAGAAAAAGTAACAAATAAGATAAAAGCTGAGATACGCAAGTTTTTTCTGATGCAAAATTTAGCACTCCAAACTTCAAAATGGCGGATTGAAGGGTTGCCGAAGTGGACGGGTTTTCTGGACAAAACACCTTACATCTCAGTAGCTAATTACCAAAACCCCATAGTATGTTATATCAATCTTCTTCTTTTGAATTGGTTTATCCAAATATGCAATAAAATTTGAGACCTTCCATTTAAAAAATCACTACTTTGATATTTAGATTAAAATCAGGACATCCTGTATAATTGCCAATATTTCAGAAATCTGTCCTCAAATGTCATTTATAACATCCCATAAATAGATTTTCCCAAAATATATTTGTTTATGAGTCATATTCCGTCCACACATGGATGGGCCACCCTGTATATTTATATTTAAAAATAATGGCAAGCTATTTGAACACCTGCTCTAAATGAAATAAAAATAATGTTAAAATGTATTCGTTATTCTGCATATCACTAGATTCAGCATCATTTTATAAATTTTTACCCCATCATATCATTATGTAATATGCATCTGGCAGTATCACATAATCTTACATTATTTCTTTGCATCGTGTACTTAAATAAAATATAAATAATCACATTTTTCTTTATAACATACACGGTGTACTTTTTTTCGGACCATATAAAAAGTAGAGTTGATGAAAAAATTTCAAAAAAACCATCATGTAGTTCCTAAAAAGTTCCATGATATTCTTTAAAATAAGGTCAGAGAAAAGTAAAAACGATTTGGCCAAATTCTAGTTTTTCCCAAATACCTCAATAAACCATAAAAATTTTAAAAGTTTCTTAACGGCACAACATAATCTATCACTATACAAATTTTCATTAAAATTAACCGGGTTGTCCATAAGATTTGTGCCTGGTACTGTGGTTTAGGAATGCCCGCTTGTAATTACGGCTTGTCATTAAGTAGCGCTGTTTATTCAAAAAACAATATATAGACACAAGTACTTCAAACTCCCTAAGCAAGTGAAAACTTACCATCACACGTTGCCTCGTGGTATAAAAAACATCACGAACGACACGAAGAACGCGTGGCGTGGCGCGACTTCGTAGCACTGACCGACCGCCGAAGCGCTACCTAGATAACTGAACACTGAAGCAGCGCAGTACCTTGCCGCAGAACCATCTCCCCTTGCCCTTCTCCTACTCTCCCTACCTCTCGGCGTGTTATCGTACTTGTTTACGCTCGGAAAGATTGCTGTTTTTTATACATGTACGACGATATTTTTGAACATCATATACAGGGCGTGCGGAACGCTAGCGATAGGATTATTTTAGGAAACACTAAAAATTATTAAAATAGATGTATGTTTAAAGGTACGTAGGATGGGCAAACATTTTAGGATAATTTGTAGTGGAAAAATATGAATCGGTCATTGCATCACACATTTTGAATTTGCCGTTAGACAATAAAAATTGTATTACCGGCAAAAAAACAGTTTTAAAGTACTTTTTGGGCTTAATATAGTATCCGAGTTTTGAAAGGTTGACATTTCGATATCCATTACGGTTTATTTTAATAATAATGGAAAACACTCTAAAAACTATAGACTTACGTTGTTTTAGCAGGAGACAGGGTTAGTTTTATAATACATCAAAAAATAGGGACGATAGGAGAAGTGCAGATCTACAACATACCAAAAAATGACCCTAGTAGAAGCTTCACTGTTTTTGAGATATTTTTTTGTCTCTTTCGAAAAATTTTCTGTTAATCTATCTTTTGTTACGATGCCTAAAAATTACAGGATATCTGTTTGTTTTTTGCACAATATTCTCAGATAGTAGGTCTGCCATTTTCGATAAATACAAGTAGGTAAACTATTTTACTGGACTTTGGTATTCAGCAATGAAATAAAAATGTACCAGACTGCTACTGCAAAGTACTGCGATAAATTATCTGCTTAAACAGGACTTCAGAAAAGTAAACTAATGCTACCGTTCTTAAAAAATTCGAAAAAGACAAAAAACAATTAGTATCTTAAAAACAGTGAAACTTTCACTAGGGTAATTTTTTGGTATGTTGTAGATCTGCATTTCGCCTATCTTCCCTATTTTTGCTGTACTATTTATCGCACACCCTGAATACCTTAATCATATTTTTTATTAGTTATTATTGTGAATTACACTTGAAAGTGACATATTTTAATTCAGATTTTTAAATATTTTTAAGATTCATAGGGAAACCAGAACAGCTGGGAAAATCAAATTTCCCATTTTATATCCATTCTTATTCATTCAGCCTCTTGGTTTAATCATATCAGCAGATTTCCCCGAAATAATAATAAAGTTTGGTTTTATTGATTCAAGTTGTTTAAGGGGGTATTTAAAACATGGATTCATAAAAGGGTACACCAATTTTCGTGGGAAAATTTTTTATTCGACAACAAAGAATGAGAAAACGTGTTTTTTTTAGGATTTAAAAAAATTTTTAAATAAGATTTTTAGGTATTTATGACATCGAAGACATAATTAGATTTTGTAACAGGTCCTAGGATCTAGTAGTTTCTGGCAACCATATGCGTCACTATCATTATTTGATGTTGGGACGTAACTGCTTTGATTGAGTGAATATACTGTACTTGTCCCACCAGTGGTATGTGTAGATTAAGTTCCACGTTGACTTTTGTATACTGGTACATGTTTAATTCAAATGCTTCGAAAATTTACTTACCGTTCCGAATTTACTTAAGCCCATGTCATATACAGATCATCTTTCTAACTAAGGCCCGTATCGTCAGTCGTCCCTACAATTGTAGGGCGCCTTTATGGCCTCCTTGATTGTCATAGTTTTCTGCTTCTCCGTGTCAGAACTCTATTTTGAGGTTATGTCACAAACATCTATTTGCATCAAATTGTGCTTGCTTTTGAGTTATATCATGTTTTATCAGCCTGAAATTTCCTACAATTTAAAAAGAAAACATATCTTCACAATAGGAGAGCGTAGACGCTGACACGGGCCAAGTGTAATCTAGAAATTTTTGAAGGAGAGAAAGGAGGATGATAATCGAGGAGGCCATAAACGCGCCCTACAATTGTAGGGACGACTGACGATACGGCCCTAAGGCCCGTATCGTCAGTCGCTCCTACAATTGTAGGTTGCGTTTATGGCCTCCTTGATTTTCATATTTTTCTACTTTTCTGTGTCGGCGGTCTATTTTGAGGTTATGTCACAAATATCTATTTGCATCAAATTGTTCGCGCTTTTAATTTAAATCATGTTTTATCAGCCCGAAAGTTTCTACAATTCAAAATTAAAAAAAACTTTACAATCAGAGAGCGCTGACGCTGACATGGAACAGGTGCAAACTAAAAATTTTTGAAGGAGAGAAAAGACTATGACAATCAAGGAGGCCATAGAAGCGTCCTACAATTGTAGGAACGACTGACGATACGGCCCTTAAACTTAGTCACTGCTTGTATCAGATTCTTCTTGTTGCATTTCTGTTCTCTCTATACTATTTAAATGATTTTTGTATTTTTTTAAATGTTTTTCACTCGAAGTCAAAGCAGCAACATTTTTTTGTATTGTATCTGCATTACCATGTGGCAAATCTTAAAATTATTAGACATACTTTGGAAATACTCTTCACAGGTTGTGTTCTTACCACCTACTACCATCTATACGCGTCTCCGTTGAATAAGAATTATCGACCGGTGGTTACCACTGTCGATTGGAAAGATACCTGTATTTAGATTTGAATGCTAACTGCACTCAGTTTTTCTGGTAAAAATATCCATCATGTGTACCTAAATTCCGCTACTTTTAACAAAAAAATTCAATTCCGCCGCTACGCCGCTACCACTTGAAAATTCCGCTACTTCTGGCAACACTGTCTGTATTACCAATTGGATCAACGAGCAATACATAATACTAGATTCAAAATTATGTTTTAATTAAAATTATAGGGGGCGCCTTTGGAACAATGCCAAGAAACAGCCCCACTTTTCCAAAAATTGTGTGCTGGGTATGTCTTGATTGCCATACCCCACGAACCCTCAGGATTCGCGTGCTATCCAGTAACAAGCACCCTTTTATATAACGTTTACTCGTTCAACTGATCTCTTTGAAAAAACTAATGTTTACCCGCTGAGCGCACAAGTAGCGCCATCTTGTTGTGGATTCATGGAATTAAAGGTAACCTGAGCGTAAGGCAGAACAAAAATAGATTGCATGTACTTATGCAACACACAATACAAAACTATGGATCGATCCGTTTAAGAAAATATGACGATTTGGCAGAAGCCTGAGGCGACAATTGCGTGATATCTCGAGAGATCACGTGACAAGGCAGTGTGTTCCCACTACTCCCACCTAAAGTTACGCAGTCTCTTATATACATAGGGTGATTCACAATTCGTGACCAAAAATGAAACATCATACACAAGACCGCATTATAAGGGGTCTTCTGTTTCACTTTTGGACACGACTTGTGAATTACCCTGTTTAAGAAATATTTGTAGGTCAGAAAACACTTGTGAAAATAATATAAAAATCCCTTATAGTTATAGGTTGAAAGAAGATTTGAATCGCGATCTCCCACAAGATCCATTTACGAAAATACTTTTGTCATAGAACTTGACAGCCTGAATCTTTCCCTTTTACTTTTTATTGCTTGAATGTTCTTTTTTACTTGCAGACATTTTATACAGAGGTGGAATGCGACAAAACTAGACAAAGCAAAGAAGAATACTCAATATCCATACCTTATGCCAAAAAGTTACAACGAATTCAAACCCCTGCCAGTATTTTTTCCTAACATGACGCACAAAGTAACCTGCCAGGTAAAGACCGTTTTATGTTTTATTTTTCTGCAATCCAAGTTTTAATCTGTAACACTATTGTGGTATATTGCTGTACCTGTTTTTATACAGGGTGTCCTGAAAGGTGGTACTTTGCTTTTCGGAAACAACTACGATTGAAATAATACTTTGCGGTAAAATAGCACCGAAAACGTAAAAGGCAAATTGAAGAAAAACACTATTTATTTGGTATGGCATTTCAAGTACACTGACCTGTCACATATTTTGTTCATAATTGCTGCTTGAAGTTGTCGCTTTTCGACTCAAAAATACGAGTTTGTTTAGTTTTTTCTAAAATTGCAACATTTGGGGATGTCTGCGTCTTCTACAGTATCTGTATTTTGTACTATATAAACAAATCTACGCAACTCTGGTGGAATACTATGTTATTGCAGTAGGAGAGTGTCAATTTCTGTTTTCAAATCGGTTTGTTTAAAACTATGTTAATCTACACACCGCGTGGCGCCTGATTTGGATACTGCCTCTCATAGTCCTAGAACCACAAAACGACATATCTTTTTTCGTGGGAGTTTTTTTTGTTTGGTACTTAGTATCCCGTTCTTAAGGCTTTGATATATCGCTGCTTCTCAAGAATAGTGATACTATCCAAAAAACGAGAAATATTAGTTAAAATTCCAGATCCACTCCAAATGGTGACTATAGTCGAAATCACGAAAGATGACTATTACGTCATCATTTTCGTCTCTAGTAAAGACCAACGATAGCGATTTGTGGATATTCTTAATGAAGTTTCAGATATGTTAGACAGAGACAAACAGAATTTTATTGTCTAAACAAACTGTATTGCTAATTTGCATGTATCCGACAAAGATAGACGCTGTTTTCATGTTGCATGATCGATCATATTTGAAAGATGAACAGTTAGGTTATGTTAAAGCAGGTTAGGTTGTTTTCGAATAATACTTTGGTCTTTGGTGTTCCCCTCTTAAGGTATTCTACTCTACTTTTTTGTTCAAAAGAACAACTCCCCACTAAAATTATTATTAAGGTATCACTGAAAACCATGAAATAAAATGAAAATAAAAATAATCAATGAAATAACCAAAATCATAATATAAATTTGTTGTCATTATGTTCCTGACATCGTGATTTCATCATCGACGTACGTCCACTGATTACTTCAGTACAATTTATGGTTTGACGTAATAGTCATCTTTCGTGATTTTGACTATATTTTATCAGGAATAAAGACATTTACAATTGTTTCAAAGTTTTTGCCAGAGATGACTCTAGTGTCGTTGTTCGTTAGCATCGAATGTTTTGGGTTTCTGTCATGAATAATGTCATATTGTAGTTGCGGCTGGACTTTCAAAGCGTATACTTACATTTTTCTCAAGAATAACGTCATATTAGAGTAAAGTACGCTAATAACTAAGAATAGCGACATAAAGTGCATTGTGACTACCTTCCTACAACATATAAATTCGGAAAATGAGTCATTCAAACTATCCGATGTTAAAATAATAAAGGTAGAATCTCAACATTCTGGAACATTTTTTTTTTACAAAAACTCATACAGTGAGACTATTTTCTTAAAGTTGAGGTAGATAAAAAGTCGTATAGAAGATCTAAGAAAAACGAAGCAACAAAAAGTTACTTTGAATAAAGCATACAAACGTAAGATTCCCATTTCCGAGAAAAAGAAAAACGCCTTACGTAATTTAGTAAAAAAAAATACCCTCATACTATGAGGGATTTTACAATAATTTGTAACCAATTTTTGTATTGTACTTGTTTTTTCTGTACTTACCTTTGATTTTTTAGTTCCACGTAGCCTTTAAAATGTTGTTAGTTGTGTATCATTGGTAGTAAAACTCAAATAAATGTTCCCTTCTCTTAACCACGAATTATTTGTCATATAGTTTTTAGAAATGCATATTTTTTTTAGGAATAATGACACATTCCTGTAAAGTTGCAAAAAAGTAATAAAATGGGATATTCTTGAAAACATACTGATGAGCTCGAAAGTTCAGTAAACCTTATTTAATTGATAATTTTTCTGAATGCGAATTATTAACTTTATCTTCAGTCATCCGAAATTATTCTAAAAATATTAAAAATGCCTCTCACGAAAAAAAAAACTTATTTTGAATAGTGTCACTATTCTTGAGAAACACCGATATATTTTATTAGGCATATCTGATTATTGCCTGACCTGCCCCAACTTAAAGCAGCATTTTTTTAATCTAGGTTCTAAGATGTGTGAGCTGTTGGTCTGCAGGTTTTCTAGAACCGGACACTGTCGAGCAAAGCATCCACGAAGCTTACATTGAAACGATCATGAGAGCCCAGCATTATATTTACATTGAGAATCAGTTTTTTATCAGTCTTCCTTATCACAATCCCAATACGAAAAACCAAATTGCTGAAGCACTGTACAAAAGGATCATAACAGCCCATAAGTAAGTGTAGCATGGAATTTTCCTACCTAATCCAGCAATATGTTGTGACAATATAATAAAAAAACAAAGCCTTTTGAATATTATGTTTTTCGTGCTTCTTGCAGGCGAAACTTTTTTTCAAGCCCAAATTACCAGATTGTCAGTTCCAAAAACGTCAATGTATTAGGTTGTTCGGAAAGTTCTTGTTAGTTATATTTTAAAGATGTATTTTAGACTAAAATTTATGTATAATACTTTGACTTTATATATCATTTTAAAGCGCGTTTCTCGGTCTATCTAGTCGTTGTATTCGTTGTGTTTTACGATAATTTTTCTTTTTTCACAACTTCAAATATTGGACAAGAGGCAAGTTCGCGCGATTTTCTTATTCCATTACAAATTAGATCGAAAAGCTGCCGAGACAGCTCGCGATATCAACGATGCGTTTGCCCAAGAACCACTAAAGAACGTATGGCACAAGGGTGGTTCAAGAAATTCCACAGTGGTGATGAGAGCCTTTTTTTTACTAACTATCACGAAGGCCTGAACACCCATTGGGTACCGTGGGGCTATAGGGGGATACAGGGGAAAGGGGGAACGCCACACGGACTCTGGCGAGGGAACACGTGTGCATGCAACATGCACACATCCTGGCTCCGCGTACGAGATCCGCCGGGTGGTACCTCCGCGTTCGACAGTCAGAGACTATCTACGGACAATCACAACATCCATAGCCAAGAAAAAAATTTCTGCTGGGACGGGATTCGAACCGGCACAGCGCACGGCGACTGATCAGAAGACCGAAGAGTCTACTACTGCGGCCACCGCTGCTGCCTTGAAGATGAAGATGAAGAGCACACTGGTCGGTCACATGATGTCTACGACGACGAATTAAAGACCGTGGTGGTCGTTTTGAGGTGGCGTCTTCCCTTCTACTACGCAACAAAAACTACCTGTTTCTTGACATGTGGTGAAAAGTGGATTCTCTACGACAATAGGTGACGTTCTGCGCAATGGTTGGATAGCGAAGAGGCTCCACAGCTTCTTCTGAAGCCGAAATTCCATCCAAAGAAGGTTATGGTGACTGTTTGGTAGCCTGCAGCCGGTCTCATCCACAACAGTTTTCTAAATCCGGGCGAAACGATTACGGCTGAGAAGTAATGCCAGCAAATCGATGAAATGCATTAGAAGTCCTGACGTACGTTAGGTCAATATGCACGGGCCAATTCGCCGGATTTCTGGTCCACCGACTACCACTTTTTTTGTGTTGAGTTCATCGCCTCCACAACTCCGGATATCTACGTTAGCGACGTAAATAACTTGTGTCTTATTGGCAAAAGTGTGCTGATTCTAAAGGTTTTTATTTTGATTAATAAAGTTTTGCTAAAGCTGAGATATGCTCCTTTGAATTTGAAGGTTAAGAACCGCAAGAACTTTCCGAACAACCTAATATAAAGTACCAAGACTAGTTATTGGGTTCTACGGAAAAGTTGTCCGATTACAGAAGTTTGTTAATACTTTGCTTCTTTCAGGTCAAAACAGGTGTTTAGAGTGTATGTTGTCATGCCTCTTTTACCAGGGTTTGAAGGTGAAGTAGGTGCACCATCAGGAACTTCATTACATGCTATAACACATTGGAACTACCTGTCAATATCACAGTAAGATGATTTTCAAGATATTTGTTATTTCATAGCTTAATCATGACATTACTATTTTTAGTTTGACGACACTCATTGACTATCTGTTTTCCGATTTCAGGGGCAAAGACGCAATTTTGAATAGGCTGAAAGACGCAGGAATCGAAGATCCGTCTCAGTACATTAGTTTCTATGGTCTTCGGAACCATTCTACTCTGAATGGAGAACCCATAACAGAACTAATTTACGTCCATTCAAAGTTGATGATTGTCGATGACAAAATTGTCATTTGCGGTTCTGCCAATATCAACGATAGATCTCTCATTGGTAAAAGGGATTCTGAAATCGCTGTGATTATTGAGGTGAGTGCTATGGGAAGCATTTCTGTTACCTGAACGTGTGATAACCCAAAGTAAAACTCCCCAAAATTTTGGGGGAAATTCCCCAACATGGCAACCCTGTCAAAGCATCGCTGGTACTCCAGGTGCCACGTTTCGAGATCGTTTTTACACCACGAACAACATAGCCGACGCTTCTCATGATATATAGGTTCCATATGGTAGGGCTATGTTCTCACTGTCATTGATTGTCAAAATGTCAGCTTGATGTTGGATCATCTCGAAAGAAAAGCAGGTATTCATCGAATTGAAGTGGGGAAAAAGATACAAAATCTTTGTAAACTAAAGTAAAGTATTTGATAAAATGGTACTTACGTTAAAATGATCTTCACTACAATATGTTAACACCGCTTTTAACTTAGCATCTCGGGGAATGCGAAAAAGAACTTTATATACAGGGTGGCCCATCCATGTGTGGACGGAATATTACTCATAAGCAAATACATTTTGGGAAAATCTATTTATGGCATCTTATACATGACATTTGAGGGCACATTTCTAAAATATTGGCAATTATACAGGGTGTACCAATTTTGACCTACATATCAAAGTTGTGATTTTTTAAATGGAATGCCTCAAATTCTATTGCATATTTGGATAAACCAATTCAAAGGAAGAAGATTGATATGACATACTATGGGGTTTTGGTAATTAGCTCTAAGGTGTTTTGTCCAGAAAAACCGTCCACTTTGGCAACCCCTCAATCCGTAATTTTGAAATTTGGCGTGCTGAATTTTGTATAAAAAAACTTACACACCTCAACTTTAATCTTATTTGTTACTTTTTCGAATTTTCGTTTTTTTGGTCATACAGGGTGGTCAAAAACACGAATTGTATTTTTTCTCAAAATTTTCAAATGCATCACCCTGTATATTTCTGCCATTTTGGAGTCAATTTTTTATAAGCCTTTTTTTGGTATAAGGTTTGATTCAGATAAAATCACTAGATTTTGAGTTATTAAGCTTTTAATAGAACAACACACCAAAATTAAGGAAAAAAATCACATCATCCATGGAAACAAAAGAATAAACAGTGAGCTAGTTCCATATTGCCACTAAGAGTACAGATTTGACGTAAAAACGAATAACAATCAGAACAGTATAAATCAGCTTCAAGCGTAACAGAGAAAAAAAATAACAACATAAATAAACAACTCACTAGTCCAGACCTAATCTACAAAAACTGCTCGAAAATATCTCCACCAGGTTGAATAGATGGATATGGTGAAAGCATTTTTTCCTCAAAAGCTTATATCGAAGTTTGGAGACATTCACTGGCCTTCCAGATCACCCGACCTCACGCCATGCGATTATTTTTTTTGGGGTTATCTAAAGTCAAAAGTGTATTCCAATAATTCTCGAACACTGGAGGAGTTTAAAGACAACATTCGACCAAAAATGAACAACATCGATCCGGAAGTCTGCAAGAGAATTTACGAATATGTTGATAAATATTTTCGTTTCATTAAATTTGTATTTTTTTTTCTTAAATCATAAATTGAACCTTCCCACTGGACACACTGTATCAACGGAAATAATCGACAGAAAAAAATAAAAACAGAATTGGAATACAACTGTACGATATGCCGGGAGTTACAGTTACATTTTTTCAGGATGAAGCCTTCGATGACGGAATTATGAACGACAACGCCTTCCCGTGCGGCCAATTTGCAGGTAGTCTCCGAAAATATCTTTTCAAGGAACACTTGGGTGTGTTGGGCAAAGAGAACGAGGTGTTCGATTTTGACGTAACCGATCCCACTTCTGACCACTTTTACAACGACATTTGGCGCAAGACCGCCAGTTTGAACACGGAGTTCTATGAAAAAGTCTTCCACTGCTTGCCAACTGATAGCGTACAAACTTTTGCCGATTTGAAGAGAAATCACGAAGAAAAGCCTTTGTGGATCTCAGAATATTCGAGGGCGCAGAAAATGTTGGAGAGCATCCAGGTAAGTTTTAGTTTCTGACATACGTCCTAGTATTTTGAAAAACTAGCATTGGACGCACAATTAAAAAAACTGTTGTCTGATCTGAAAAAATTTGGACGAATAAAATCTCGGGTATAACATATTTATTTCAGGATTTTATATGACACCGCCATAACATACTATAATAGGATGCAATAATGTTAATATGACATAAAAATTCAAAATTCAATCGTCAATTTTCTTAGGGTCATCTTGTACTCCTGCCTCTGAACTTCATCTGCAAAGAATGCCTGACCCCTGCAGCGAGTTCTGTAGAAGGAATGATGCCGACATCTTTATGGACATAGTGATCTAGTATAGGTTATTTCCCCTAAGAATAAGCCAATATTTCTCATAAATTATTAGCCCCTTAATTGCCATCACTAGGCATAAAAAAGTGTTTCTTCAAAATACTCATGCAATTTATGTTGTGTTCGTTTTTACTCACAGTGGTTTGTTATATACATAATACTTTTTTAAAAAAAATTTAAAGACTTCAGTATACATGTTTTTATCAATGATGTGCCTTATAGTCTTTTCGCAATTTGTGCGTTTACACGTTATTATATTTGCATTTATGTGCAGTACAAAAATAGGAACGATATAATCGATAATTATTTTTAGCTATTTGTAAGAGCTAATATTTTATATATCGTATTTATTAAACAGGTGGGTGTTGGTGCTGTACTTAGATATAATTTAATGTGATAGAATCATGCCTTTTTGCGTAATATTAACACGGATGCAGTATTTTTATAATTTTACAGTATTTTTCATTAATTCCATATACCAGACGACACAAACAACAAAGATATTAAACAGTTTTTGTTTAATTATTTCAATTACTTTTAAAAAGAACGCATAAAATATATTTGTTTAGATAAATAATGCTTGGCTATTCTATTTCGTTTTTAATTCATCTGTAGCTATTTGTTATTTATTGATAATACATTCTTGTCAAAATTAATAACAGCTTTTTATTTCCCATTCCATATTCCTTGCTGTGGTCATAAAAAAGTATTTTTAATAAATACTTAAGCTAGCAGTTCATGGATTTTTTTCAAAGGGCATCATTTATAACCACTTTTAAGCGGAAAATATCGATCGTATTTCGCTGAATGTCAACCATTTGCGCTCGCTTACATGCCTGGCAAAATTGTCAGCAATGAGCGTCAATTCCAGCTGTCTCTAGTATTCAACCCATCTCTCAAATTAGAGTAGATGATTGGGAGTATCCTCCTTTTCATTGCAGTTCGCGTACTTTTTTCGTACTCCCTTCAGGTAGCTGTCAAAGTAATCTATCCTCACCGCTCCATTTTCAATCCAAGTTTTAATACTTGCGATCAGAATTCTAGTCCATGCGTCATGGACAGTTGCATCCCATCTCCTGTCAATGCGCTTCTGTTTGGTCGCTTCTAAGATACGGCGCCCTTTTTTGTAGTGTGCGCAAATCAATTGGCGGGATACCAGCCACCACCAGCAGTGAGAAAACGACACCGTTCAGTCAGCGCAGACCGCACCTAGCTTTTAAGGATTAGTGGTCTATATTTCCTTTTGTCAAGGCCTTGTTATAGATAGCAGCTTCGTACAGCATAATCGAGTTTGCCACTTCTGTCAAAATCCTTCGCCTCTGGGGCCTCCATCAGATAGCATTAGTCGTATCTAAGATGTACGTCACACTCCCACATACTTAATTGCATTTCGGCTTCGAATTTTGGCATTCTCAAGCTTAACAGCTACTGAAGTTAGCTTCTATCTAGTAGAAAGTATAATAACCAGACTTTTCCATCCATATGTGAAAATACCTTCTAGTCACATCGCAAACCCTATTAGCTGAATTCCCTACAGCATCTGCAACCGAAGAACCCCATCGTAGAACACGTTCCAAAGCAACGGCCCTAGGACGGAGCCCTGCGGCACTTCCATGATTACCTTCATCGTATTTTCTCCATAAGTTTCCTCGACTCATTAAAGTAACTCTTTATAATGTTCATATACAGCTAGGGGCGGACAGATTCTCGAGAGATTCGATGATTTTCTGCTATTGTGGCCTGTTGAAGGCTTTAGTATCAAAATTTCAGGAATAATGGCAGAAGACAGCAGCTCTCAGATTAAATCTAGGCATATACTTTTTCTAATATTCAGGCACTCTAGGATGCTATATAAAAAAATTAAGACATGAAAGCTGTGGGACACTATATATCAAGTTTCATACTTTGATTATTCTTGAATGATACGTTGAATGCCATGCATAGTCTGCATTTTTAAACCGATACATAAAAATTCTATCTACAGAGTCGAAATAGTCGAGACCAATGATATGTTACAGTGTGTTTTCTTTTGCGTTACGTTGTTCCTAAAATTATACTGGTACTATTATACTACTTGTTTGCAATGAATGGTTCAAAAATAGATCCGGAATTCCCAGAAACATTACAACATTAAAAAACTACTACAAATCCAAATATCGATCAATGAACCATGACTCACTCTCCACACTTGTTTTTTGCTCAGGGCATTGACAATGACTTTAAAATTGGTACGTTAACCTTGACTCGTAAATTCGGCTCAAGAAAAACACGTTTGGTATTTAATCACGCCGGTTTTACCATATATTTTTGTGAGATTGCGGGGAATCGGTATCTTCAGGATTATGCTTTATAATTTAAATTTTGTACACAGAGCGGTTATAATGTTTGTTGTAAAATTTGCTTAACACTTCATTTTTATTGTTCAAATTATCAAATACAACTCGGTGCCGTTTTTATTGTAAGGGTATCCATGAAGATGATAAATGGGAATGTTCACAATTTTTTATGCAATCGATGGAAAAAGCAGATATTATTGCTCGTAGCCTAGCACGCAAAGATGACGTTTACCAACGAGACATCGCAAATGACAAATCTATCGTTCCAGTGCGGCGAATAAGCACAAACGCTCGTTATTGGATGCGGTCATGATATAGTATTGTATATATAGGGATTCTTATTCTTATCAGTGTTATAACTATAATAGGGTGACTTCGAAGTTGAGTCATTTATTTTAACAGTGAGTAGATCTGATCAAAAGAAATGTTTTTTTCCTTTATCATTTTTCTGGTAAAATTAAAGTAACAAAGTTATAGCCCTTTGGAAGTTTGAGTACCGCCCTGTCTCAATAATAATATTATGTGCTCGTGTTTGGCGACAACGGATATAATTCGCTTTATCGGTTCATCGCATCGGAAACAAAAAAGCGAAAGAATTTGGAACGATGTTTTTACAATTATTTCATTCAGTTGTATACAGTCAGTGTCAGTCGGTAGTGGATAGTGGTGTCTGTTGCGTGGCTGAAACGAAATAAAAAATGGCACATGTTTATGCGGAGCGGTTTCCCAATCGAGTGCAACCAACCCCTCGTGCCTTTGTTAATGTAGTACAACGGGTTCGTGAATCATTTGACTTAAGACCTCACATATGGACGGCATGCCGGTGCTCCAAGACCTCACGATCAAATACAGGTCCGCACTGAAGTACTTGTCGGGAGGATACTTTATAAAACAAGGTAAAATTTTTTTTTAATTTTTTTTTTATTTTTACACACATATTTTGGTTTATCTTCCTTCTACAATCATTATCTGAAAATTAATGACTCAACTTCAAAGTCAGCCTGTATAAGAAATGTTGTCGCGTATTTCTCGTTAATAAACAAGGAAATATTAAATTGCTCTTTGCTCTCCAAAATCAAAAACAGGCATCATTGCTCTATTAGTGATGAGTTACCAGTGAATCTGATGACGCCATTTTTCGGTCACGCTTGGTCGGAAACGTCTAAAAAAAGACGTCCTTTAAAACGCTGACATTTCGACGTCTCTTTTAGCACAGTCAGTACTGAAAAATTAACACTTACCTACAAAGAAAACATAGACATATAATGAACAGTAAGGTAAGCTATACAGGGTGACTTCCGAAGTTGAGTCATTTATTTTAACAGTGAGTAGATCTGATCAAAAGAAGTGTTTTTTTCCTTTACCATTTTTCTGGTAAAATTAAAGTAACAAAGTTATAGCCCTTTGGAAGTTTGAGTACCGCCCTGACTCAATAATAATATTATGTGCTCGTGTTTGGCAACAACGGATATAATCCGCCTTATCGGTTCATCGCATCGGAAACAAAAAAGCGAAAGAATTTGGAACGATGTTTTTACAATTATTTTATTCAGTTGTATACAGTCAGTGTCAGTCGGTAACGCGTGAGTGAATAGTGGTGTCTGTTGCGTGGCTCAAACGAAATCAAAAATGGCACATGCTGAACTTGTGGACATGATTCTTATTTACGCGGCATCACGGATTTATGCGGATCGGTTTCCCAATCGAGTGCAACCAACCCCTCGTGCCTTTGTTTATGTAGTACAAAGGGCTCGTGAATCAGGTGACTTAAGACCTCACAGGGGAGGGCATGCCGGTGCTCCAAGACCGCACGATCAAATACAGGTCCGCACTGAAATACTTGTCGGGAGGATACTTTATAAAATAAGGTAACATTTTTTTTATTTTTTTTTTTATTTTTACACACATATTTTGGTTTATCTTCCTTCTACAATCATTATCTGAAAATTAATGACTCAACTTCAAAGTCTATCCAGATACGAATAGCTACTTGATTGTTATTTATAAAAAAGTATCACGAAGTCTTCGACAAACAATATCTTGTTAATATGATTTTTCTAATAATAGTATTCCATGCTCAGATGTTTCAAATTGCCATTTTACATCATGTTTTACTCCCAGGAGTAATAAATTTATGCTGCTTGTGGGGCGTCGTCTCCTCAATTGTGCAAGAGCATTTGGATACACCGAGCGATTACTTTTGCGAGCGACTGTACGTTATATCGACGTCATATCCACCTCAGACAGACGTTATATCCACGTCATACTGACGTTAGATCGACTTTGTATTTGGTCTTTTATACGACATACCATTACGTCATATAATGACGTCAATTATGTGTGATATTAGACCGTCATAATAACGCCATTTCTACGTCAGTTTTGTTGTTTTAACAAGAACTAATTTTTCTATTTTCGATTAGATCGATTCCCAGGACGTGTTTGAAAAGGACGATATACATTTCACAACTTGATTCAGAGATTTCAATGCTATGACTTCCCTCATAGTACAGTACACTAGACTAGGCCTGGACGTGGCAACATTGCCTCTCCTCCCCTGCTCGAGTGCATGCCGCGTTCATTGGTCGTCGGACAATTACATACTTTACCAACTCTGACCAGTTGCGGTAATGACATTCTGCGTTCTACCAGTGTTTTTCCTAGAAAATAATCATTTGTTTATCTCGGTTACTCAAATGAGAGAGCGGATAACCAGAATCTATGTTTGGTTGCGTTCCATATCGATTTTGATAACTAGATCTTGATAATTTTGTGAATCCAACTGACTACAACTTGGTATTAAAAAACAGAGTCAAGGAGATTGACTCCCCAGATAAACACCGTCATCATCACCGACCATCCGATAACGTTGCGACGAGTCAACCTCGTCGTCGCAGCAGACGGTTTGGGGTTTTGTTTTACTTCAAGTACCTATCATACTGTGAATAAATTGATTAGGATATGTTAAAATATGCCACACAGGCTGTGAGGTAGGTATACTTTATCTGAAGTCACTTGAAATAGCATAAAAACCTTTGGTCGGCGCGTCCTTTGTAATTTCATGACGTATCATAGGCGTGCGGTCATTTATTTAGATCGATAATAATAATGTTTTTATATCACAATAAATGGATTTTACTATCTTCTTATTTTTTTGATTTGGGATAAAAAATACTTATATTGGGAGTTTAATTTATGTTGACTGAAAGTTAAGAAATGGAAAAATTACAGAATTCCAACGTTTGACATAGGCAAATATTTACATAGCAGGCAGGTATATAAAAAGGTATATAAAGACTTACATCATAGGTATTTATATATCATC